TGCTCAAGCTGAATTTTATATATGCTATGCAGCTTTTTATTCTCTGCAAAATGGTAAAAAAATATTGCATAGAAAAATACTATACTGTTCTTATTCAAAGAATACTCTCTAACAAAGTATAAAATGAAAACAAGATCTCTAAAAATTTTTCAAAAAATTTGAGCCGTCTGTGCCTTTTTTTAAGAGAGGCTCAAGTCTTTCCAACCCTAATAGTTCTGCCGCCTATGACTCACATCCACATACTTTTTTGTTTACTACTTAGTTTTTTTCTCTAAAACATACTTTAACCTAGCACAAAAACTACTATATTCTGATTGACATAGTTCATTGTATTTTATTCGTACTAAAAAGAACATAGTATGAAATATACTTATAACAGAGAACATATGATTGATCAATTGCTTTTCTTCTTATTGTAGAAGGACACAGGTGTGAATTTCGATCTTCTTTGTTTCTAAAGTGTCATTCACATGAAAAAAGCTCGAAGTACTATTTATTTGAGAAAATCGAACGGATCAATCAACCAAAAGCTTTGATTTAGTACTATGATTGTGCAAAAAGCAAAATATACCAGGAGATATAGCGTAAAAATCTCTGCAATCCACAAAGTAAAGATTGTGTTAATTATGTAACTTTAGTTAGCAGAACAACAGCACAAATCTGTATGACCACTTTTCACTATTGTGAAAGGATCATTCCTGTTTGTTTATTCTATTTCTAAGAGTAAAATACTTTTCCGAAACGTTTTATGTGGCCCGACTCTTTTTTTACACTCACATGAACGTCGATACCCACACACCCAGTATCAAGCAGTGAAGAATAATATCATATATCAACAATTGATTTTTTTAAGAACATAGGAAAAATTCAATTATTATCCTTTTTCTTTATTTTTACATTATTTATCAAATGGAAATGTTGAACTTCAAATAAAATTGAATTCCGTCTTCTTTATTTCTACTTCGTACTACACGATGGTTGTTTTTTAATTTGATTATATCTTTTAGATGTTCTTTAACATGATAACGATCAGAAGAAACAGCAGAATTAACAATCAAACTACTGAAATTGATCTTTTATTTGTATGATCAATAGAAACATTTATTTATAAAACATGTATGATGTAATTCTTTGTTCTAGAGAAAAGCTATTAATTACACAAAAGAAGAGTAACAAAAAACAAGAGAGAGAAATTATTGAAACTGAGGGAAGTAGAAAAAAAAATTACATATCTTCATTTGACATTTGTGTATACATCGACGTTAAAAAATTTTAAACAAGAATTTACTAAGAGAAAAAAAACCACTCAACAATGCGTTGTATATTAAAATTAGGATCGATCGATATATTAAAATATAATTTCAATGATAATATGGACTCAATAACTTCCAATGATGATGAATGTCGAATAATTTTTATTTCATTTATTATGATGATTTTCATCAGTATCATGTTTACCATATTGTGTTGTTGTTGTTTATGTTATAAATGTTGTAAAAACAATCATGAAAAAACAATAAATATTTATACACAAGAGCAACCTCAACAAAGTGTTAATCATCATCATTGTTAAGACTTAATCAAAGAAAAAACTTTTATTTATTTATAAATAATCGTATTTCTGAAACAAAAAAATATAACCTAAATATACAATGAAATATGAAAACAATCTAATTCTAAAAAAACATTCCTTGAAATGTAAATGATTCTAAAACGTTTGAGAATGTTTTAAATTAAGTATTAATGTGAGACATGGATAAGGGAGCATAAACATAGTTAGAGATCTTTTCTTCATTTACATATACATTGACAGCCAAATACATGAGACATGGCTCAAGACACAGCATAATCTTTTTTATTTTTAAGTAAGAGTGATGTTTGATTGGCTTTACTATAATTTAAAAATATTTTATGTTTAATCATTCATTCTTTTTTTTTAAATAACATTTCACATAAGATTTGTTATAGTTTTTCTGAAGTCCATCAATCCATTAAGAGATTAACTTCATGAATAAATTGTATGGTTCTTAAAAGAGAGTGAGACAGCGTTGAAGTCTAATTCAAGTTTTAGATTCAATTTAAACATAATCATTGTTTTTAATTAATCTTCAATGACATATTTTATGGAAGCAGAAATTTTATGAAGAACGCGCTCCGTCCATCGCTAAATCTCTGTTTAGAACATATTAGACATTTATTATTAGGAAAAATATCCCGTAGATGATGTACACGTATATGTGACATGTTATTTCTTCTTTTATTCGATTACAAACTACTAACGTCTCATGAATACATATTCTTTTTTTTTCTTTCTCTTGAAAACAATATCTCCATATTATGTCTTTGACCAAACGAATAAGCCATTTGGCATAGGTCGATAATCAATCTGGGATCAATGCCATGACTGCTAAAATGATCTTTAAACTATTGCTTATAAGTATTGATCATAAATTAATCTAAATGAATTATTATTAAGCAGTATACGAAGAGACGAAACATCGATATTTCCTATAAACAACAATTCCATTTCGACTCGTTGTATTGACATATCAATTCTTTTATCCTATGAGCAAGAATGAAAGCAAAAACATATGCCTCGAAGACAAATTATATTTGCTTCTTCAAAGAATCTTTTCTCTTTCACATATAATGGTATACTGACGATGTTGTTCTTTTCTTCGAGTGGTATGCATAAACAGAGAAGAGAGGAAAAAAAGATAAAGTAAAGAATATAGTACGTGCTATAAGAATAGCCATACAATGACGAAAGAGCAAACGACCTAACGAAATATGTATTCAGGTCTAAGGTTACAACGTCGGTCTTTATACGGAATCAGGTAGATATTCAATCGTAAAACTGAAGAAATATTTGTCAAAACAATACTTTCATTCAGATTCTTCGGTTCTCTCAGATCCATATATATAACATATTAACTAAGCCTCGAAACGAGCCACTCAGACCAATAGGCTGGACGAGCCTAAAAATTCTCTTGATCTGTCTAGCTCAAACTTTATTTCTTCCTCGTGAAGAACATTGTCAAAGTAAGAGAAATCTGATTCTAATCGACTTTCTTCTAATTAAAAACTGATTAAAAAAGAGTAAAACCAATTGACATCTATTTTTCAAGTTAAGAAATCGAACTTTAGTCAGAATTACATCGAAGCATTTTAATCGATTTTTTAATAAAAAAAGTAATCGATTAGAATTAGATTTCTCTTACTTTAATAATCTTTCTCACGAAAAAGAAATAATAAAGTTTGAGCCAAGCAGACCGGCAGAATTTTTAGACCTGTCCGGTCTATTGGACTGAGTGGCCCGTTTCGAGGTCTGATATAAACTACGTAGCATTTTCGCATGTGCCAAATGACAGTGCCATGAGTAGCATAAAATAATGAAACACAATTGAGTAATACGTGCCTTTTTGAGTCTTTTATAGGCCAAAGAGAAAAGGTTACAAGGAGTCTTCGCATATGTAATACCGTTTTAGGTAAGACAGTTCAGGTCCATCACTAAAATGGTCGTAAAGGATTGTATACTGATGTTTATGATGCGGCAATGACTGCATATCCTTATAATTAGCCTTAGCTAATTCGAACAAATCGAAATAGCATCAATGCGTTATGTCAAACTTCTTGGCGATAACGATTTTAACGAAGGTAGTGAATTTTTTAAAGTTGGATTCTATTAGGTAGTGACATTGTCTACGATCCATTACCTTTCCATGCTTCTCTCTTTTTTTCGACTCCATTGACTGTCGTTATGTAAGATTCTACAGGCTAGCTATTGTTGATTTTACAAAGACGAATAAAAGATCATACACTCGAAAAGTCTTAGCTATGACACACTAATAGATTTCATTAATACGAAGATATCAGAGGTTCTGAGTGAATTAAAGAACAATGGTAGCTAAAACAAAGTGTTTTCAATATCTAGAAAAACTCAATCTCATACATTTTCTTCATATCTGTATCATTTCTACAAAAATAGATTTAACGAAAATCTCTTAAGCTAGACGTGTACTGCGTTTTAGTATGACCTAATTAAAGTAAGCATTATGTAGCTCTTACTCAATCAATAAAATTCGAGTGACAGGCATCACTGAATCCGTTGATAATAACGAACTTACTTGATTACTTAACTGCTAATATAAGACCTAAGTGTTTTCCGATTTATGAAGCCTGATTGTGTGAAAATGGTCATTTTTACAAAACTTGGCGAGACATTATTACAATCAAGAATCCAATTTGACAATTGACGTGTCACAATTTTGATGCTTGACTTTTTGCTCACGACAAGAATATTGTGTAAAACTATCTATTTCTTCATAAAAAAATGACTAAGAAGTTATAACTAAAATATGCAACTATTTTTTTTTATCTATGAGAGTTAATCTCCATAATCCAGACAATGGCAAGCGTAGCCTAAACAATTAAGTATGGTTGTCTCTATTTAGAATCGTCTCACGAGCAAACATTAGAAATGAGCTAATGAAAAAGTTGTTGTTTTAGTTTTCAAGTTTATCTCTACATTAAAGTTGAAGGATAAAATAATTGACAAGGTTTCTAAGAACTTTGAAAAGAAATAGTCTGGAGCTTGTTTCGTTCAGAACCATCGTAAATGTCAGTGTGGCTAGCAACGATCTAAGATTTAATAATCTAGCATAGCAAGGGTTTCAATCTAGAAATCACTGATACAATCTGTAGAACTGAGCTAAGTGTGTGCCATGAACTTTCCGCACCAACATAGAAATACATTTAAAGCGACAAGAAAATATTTGAAATAGAATCATATTATGCTATCAAATTATTTATTATTTGAACTGAAGGCTTCGACGTGTACTAGTAAAATAAAAAATGGGATGAAAAAATAAAAGATTACACATACTAATAAAAAAATCTGTAAGAAAAAAGTTGCGTCGAAATCATCGGCATGAGATAAAAATTAATTTGATTAATTTATTATTCGTAAGGATATTTTTCTTTTAGTTGAATATTACTAAATGGAAAAATATAATTTATCATTAACAGAATTGGATGAAATTCAAAATCATGAAGATTTTATCGTTATTTGGCTTTCATCAGATGATGTTCCAAATAGTATAATGAATTTTGCTGATTATTTAAAAATATATGATTCATGTGAAGCTTGTATTAGTTATATAAAAAAGTTTAAAAGTGAACGTAAAATTCTTCTTGTATATATGATGGATTGGGCATATTTATCGATTTTTGAAGATTTCTCTCAAATTCAATCAATTTATGTTTTAAAGAAACAAGATGACAATTTGGAATTCAATAAACAAAATCATCCAAAGCTAATTGATCTATTTCAAAATCTAGATGAATTAATTAATCGACTACGTAAAGATATATTATTAACCTATAGAAGTGATTTACCAATAAATATATCTTCTCTAAATGAAAATAATATTGAACAATCGTTAACAAGTTTACATGGAAATAGTTTAGCACTTTTATGGAATCAATATTTTCTTTATTATTTGATTAAATATCCAAATGTAAATATGAAAAATTTGAAAAGAATTATGTTAGATCAATGTCGATTAGAATATCAGAATAATCAAAGTGAATTAACAAAAATAAAGGATTTTGAAATGCATTGTTCAAATAAAAATATTTTAAATTGGTATGCAAAAGATTCATTTTTATATCGACTTCTAAATAAAGCATTTCGCACAAGAAATATTGATTTTATTTGTCAATTTCAATATTATTTAATAAATTTATATAAGAAATTTCAAAAATTATCAAAAATACAAAAAGAAAAATATCCTTTGATTGTTTATCGAGGACAAATTATCAATATAAATGATCTAAAACGATTACAATCAAATGTTGGACACATTATTTCAATGAATACAATGATATCAACATCACGTCTTGAAGACGTTGCTCGTAGATTCATTTATGATGCTCCATTATGCGCTTTATTTAAAATTAATATTAATGATACAACTAACAGTAGATTTCGTCCATTTATCGATATTTCTGAATTTAGTTCAATGCCAGACGAACAAGAAATTTTATTTTTTGTTGGAACTATTTTTTCAATTGATTCTGTTCAACAAGAAAATCATTCAACATGGATTATTGAACTTACTCTAAACAATCAAATATGCGAACATATTGAAAATTTTATTTTTGATTTTCAAAAACATATTCATGAGTTTAAAAACAAACATTATTTATTTATGAAAACAGATGATTACAATATGATTAAACAATATTATAATATGTTAACAAGACAAGAATTCTCTTTAAATAATTTACCTATCAATATGATATATATTTATGTTGCTTTTATGTTTAGTAATTTAGGATGTTATGAAAAAGCGATTGAACTATATAAAAAATATCTTCTCATAGGCAATATTTCTATTGATAGTTCTCAATCAATAGTTATTCATATTATTATCGGTTATCTGTATTATCATTTTTCCGATTATGAGAATGCTTTTATTCATTATGGTATTGCATTATCATTATTAGATGAAACAAATTTATTAACAAGTGAACTTTACAATCATATCGGTGATGTTTGGAGTAATATAGACAATGTTGATAATGCAATATCGTGTTATCAACAAGCATTACATATTGGAAACCAAAATAACATTTTCCAATCTGATATTCATCAGAAAATACTTTTAAAAAAGAAAAATTCAATTCAAAATCCTACTGATGAAAGACAAATAAACAATATCGATGAACATGACAGATCAATCATAAACTTAGATAATGAAATTCAGTTGAAAAATTATCAAAACCAACTAAATGCTGAACATAATCTTACATCAATTCAACGTATTGATTTATCATATCAAATTGGTTTATGTTTAATGAGAAAAGACGATTCTCCTCAGGCCTTAGAAATCTTTTTAAAAACCAAACAGATGCTTATTAACGAGCAATTAGATGATGAAAATAATCCTACGTCGATTCAATGTGTTGATTTATCATATCAAATTGGTTTATGTTTAATGAAAAAAGGCGATTTTCCTCAAGCTTTGCAAAGTCTTTTACAAGCCGAACAGATCATTATTAAGAATCCTCCATTGTGGAATCGATTTCCTCAATTACTTTCAACACTTTATGACAATATTGCTATACTTTATTTTTTATTAGATGAACCGTTAAAAGCAATAATTATGTGGAAGAAATCTATTGACATGAAAATAAACTTTTCTTATAACTAATTGTTATATATACTTAAAATAATATAAGAATCATGCCGGAGATACTTTATTTCCGTATAAAAAGCTTAAGAAAGCTTTCTTTTTCTATGTAGCGATAGTAAAAACAATATTCTTCTTTTCTGTTGTATTTCATCATTCTTTAACTCATATCATATTAATAAAATTTCGATTGTACTGGCGTCTGCTATGAAAAAGTAATGACTCAGTGGATATATTGGTGAAACATGATCTAAACGGAGTGTTGAAGTATATAGGATAGAAATTTGGACCTCACCTCACATCCACCTCCTCAACAATGAAGCCAACGAAGTGTGGTTTCCAAGAAGAAAAAAGAGAGTAAAGATGGCCACCTCTTTGTACTCTCGAAAGAATTCAGCGATAGTGACTTCTTGAACAGTATTCCTATTGAAAGGCTACTTGTCAAACGCAAATGTATAAGCTACTAACTTCCATAATTCAGTTAGGGAAAAGATCACCACGAGGATTCGGACATCTTGAAAAAGCTCATTGAGCACAGTTGTCGCGTCAACACACAGACAGCATAATAAAAAAACAACTTTGGTCTTGATCATCTAAGTCAATTACTTGCGTCAATACGTAAACAAATAATTTTGTTCAACCAAATTCGTCCAATTAATAAGTATGAAGTAAATTTGGTGAAATGATCGAAATTTCATTTGGCTGCTTATCTTTTTTTCAGATAGAGAATGTATTTAATATCCTCTACCTTTTATTTATTACAGTTGTTTGAGTGCCTACAATTTTGTCGAATACAAAAAATGTCGATTGCAAATTTGTCGATTCGACAAAATTTAAATCCAAATTTGTCGAATTCGACAAATTTTATTAAAAAATGTCGATTATGGTATTGTCAAGCTTCGTTTCGACGAATTTCAAATTCAATTATAAACACCTAAAATCTGACTTAATATCAAGTTGGAATCAAGTTGAAATTATGTTGAAACCAAGTTGGAATCAAGTTGAAATTATGTTGAAACCAAGTTGGAATCAAGTTGGAAACATGTTGAAATCATGTTGAACTGAAGTTGATTGCAAGTTGATTCCAAGTTGATTTCAACATCCCTAGAGAATATACTGAGTTAAGGGTACCCAAAAAAGTACCCTGATACCAGTATGTCACAGGAACTTTTGGGTACCAAAGTACTTGCAGGTACTTACAGGTACCTAAGTGGTACTTTGGCAAGTACCCTGCTGAAAAATGCACAGTAATTGGGTACCTAAAGGTACTGATCAAGTACTGAATTGGGTACCATTGTATAGTATTTCTAAGTACCCTGTTACCAAATTTTCAGTATGTTCAGGAACGAACCTGATCTTTGACTTTTTAAAATTTTTTCTTTTTCTTGAGATAATTTACTACATTTTTTTTTACTTTATTCAATTTAATTTTTTCAATTCCAAAAACTTAGCAGAAAAAATGTCGGGATCCGACTCAACTTGAGTTGGTTGTAGACCACTTCAGGATAGTCCGATCTTAATTTACGACCAAGCTCGGCATTTC